GATACGAGACGTGGGCTCTGTGCCACACGCCAATTTACTGGCAGAAGGCGCAGCAGGTAGGTCGATCTATTCGGTCTGTGATCTGTTCTCAGGTTATGACGAGGTACCGCTTGACCCTAGAGACAGGCACCTCACGGCTATGCATACGCCATTGGGACTAATACAGATGATGGTTGTCCCTATGGGTTGGACTAATGGGGTAGCCGTTTTTCAGAGAGCCATGGTAGCCGTCCTCAAGGACTTCATCCCTGATAAGGTTGAAGTTTTTCTGGGTGACTTTCCTATAAAAGGGTCAGTAAAGAAGGATGAGGCAGAGGTTACACCTGGAGTTAGAAGATTCGTCGAGCAGCACCTAACGGATATTTGCGCGGTACTCGAGCAGCTGGACGATGCGAATCTAACAGTCAGCAGAACAAAGAGCCGATGGGCCGTCTTGACTATTAAGATCTTGGGCTTTATCGGTGACTCGAGGGGACGCCGAGCAGATCCGGCGAAGTTAGGCAAACTCCTGAACTGGCCGTCACCATTACATAATCCAACCGAGGTCCGGCAGTTTCTGGGAGTGGTCGGTTACTGGCGTATATTCATACGAGGGTATGCGGAGAAGGCTTAGCCATTGAGGTTACTCCTTCGAAAGACTGAAAAATTCTACTGGGATTCTTCACAGGAACTCGCTATGCAAGAACTTAAAGACGAATTTAAGGAGGGAGGACGCGTGTTGGGCGTGCCATTCTTTGACGATGAGACCGAGAGACCCTTCATAGTATCCACGGATGCAGGATCTTTGTTCGGTAGGAGGGTTGTTGTCTCAGAAGAACGCTGAAGGGAAGGAAAGACCATTAAGATTTGAGAATAGGACACTTAATACGGCAGAGCGAAACTACTCTCAATTCAAGAAGGAAGTATTAGCTGTTCTACGGTGTCTAGACACGTTCAGACATTATATCTATAGACGACGGTTCATCTTGAGAGTGGATCCCACCGCGGTCGCCTCTGTCCTCTAGAAGGACTTTAGCCTGACAGACCCGACCATTGCACGATGGTTAATACGGATTCGACTATATGATTACACAGTAGAGAGGATATTTGGCACTAAAAATGTCATAGCGGATCGGCTCTCTCGGATCCCTCTTGAGGGAGAGCGCCCGATAGTAGTTGGAGCCCTGACAATGGCGGAGTCAAGACGCGCCGAAAGATTTCTGGTTAATCTTTACGAGGGCAAGTACCGAACGATCGGGCTACAACTGACGGGAGAGGAGAGTCAAGATTTAGATATCCGAAGACAAGCAGCCCAGTACTGCCTTAGAGCGGGCCACCTTTCCCGAAGGCCAGTAGGGTCAGGGATGCCCTTACGAGTAGTCTGTGATCCTGAAGAGAGACAGACGATAGTAGCGGAGCTTCACGACGGGGTGGTCGGAGGACATAGAGGAGTCAGAGGGACCTACAAAAAGGTACGCAGGCTGTACTGGTAAGAAGGATAGTATAAGGACGTCGAGAGATATTGTATGACCTGCGAAGAATGCCAGAAGAGAGCTCTTGTGAAATACAAAGAGCCACGTCATCCATCCTATCCAACCCGACCAGGAGAGAAGGTACACATCGATCTGGTGAAGATGTCGAAAGGGGTAGGCAATATGAACAATGTTGTGAACAAACGAGACGACTTCACGGGGTTCGTGGACGGTAGACCTATTAGGAGTAAGACGGCAAGGGAAGTGAAGAACTTCGTCCTAGAGTACTTATCTAGGTATGGTTGTGTCAGCAAAATAGTGATGGACAGAGGAGCAGAATTTCTGGCTGACGAGGTTCAAAATGTATTTAAGAGAGCTGGGGCGAGAGTTTCGATAGCCACTGACTACCACCCACAGTCGAACTCCCCAGTAGAGAGAGGGCACCAGACCCTGATAGCGTCGCTATCTAAGTGGTGCAAAGGCAAGGACAGTGATTGGCCACGATATTTTCAATACGCAATTTGGGCGGACAACGTCACGGTCCAGGCTAGCACGGGATACCCTCCATACACCTTGTGGTTTGGGCGGCATTGTCCGCTTCCCATAGAGTTTCACGTCGACAGCTGGACAACCGTCGACTGGGCGGAGAAGATGTCAAGAGAGGAACTCATAACTGCCCGAACAAGACAGATAGCTTACGGTTTGGAAGATAACCTTATGACAGCGGCAGATCGTCTGGCAGTGGAAAGAGACAAAGGTAAAGAGAGATGGGATAAGAACGTGGGAATCAGGAAGGAGAGGGTGAGTGTAGGAGATATGGTCCTTCTCTATGATGCACTGCTGGAAAGAACCTGGACCGGAAAACTCGCCAACAGATGGATAAGACCTTACAGAGTGGTTGAGGCACTCGACTTGGGTGCATATATGATAGCAGAATTAGACGGATCCAAGTGGAAGGACCCAGTGGCGGGKGCTAGGTTAAAGTTGTTTAGGCCCAGGCCCGCGCCCGCCTTATCGCTGACCAGCCCGAAAGGGAAAGGAAAAACCATAATGGAGGATGGAGCCCCCTTGAGGCAATTCGAGGCAGGGGAGAGTTCCAAGAAAAGGAAAAGAATAGAGAAGGGAAAGGTCAAATGGTTAGCTTTAGGAAGAGAGAAGAGATGGTTATTCGTGCTCAAGCGAGCTAGACGGAGAGTTCGCGTTAGACGTACTGGCGGGTCGACACCCTTCTCGGGACAAAGACAGAAGAAAAAGAGGATCGTGCCGGGGCCAAAAATCAGAAGAAACAGGAGAGTCAAGAAGCATCTTCTTAGCCCCAGGACTCATAACAAACTGAAACATAAGATAATTGAACGCCGACGTGGGCGTCCTTTACAGGCCATCACCCTGAAGCTCGTCCGCTTCGTCTGATGTAAGTTGCTAAGGCTCGACGGGGGCGTAGAGAAGTGGGCCGGGCTAACTGTGAGACGGCCACAAGCAATGCGCCGCCTGAAATCTACGGTTTTGGGACTTAGGCGCAAAAACGAGTCTGAGCTTTGACGGTACTCTGGTTAGACCAGGTAGCGGAAATTAGGGGAGATCAGGGCGCCCTTGATTTTGGGCATGCTGAACCTTACGGGTAACCCTCAAAGATGGCGAGATGGGTGGTCGCACTCGGCACATCAACGGACCGTCATTTCCGGCCGTTCAGAGGGTTAGACCCGGATTGGCCTGCCACGGAGAGGCATCGCGGGAACTGACCTCGCAGCCACATTTTTTGCGGCATACGACCGGGGCCAAAATGAGGCCTCAAATTTTTGTCTATTTTAGTACCATAATTAAAGATGGGGAAAAGGGATTA